TTTTCTTTAAAAAAATAACTTTTCATAGTTAGAAATCTAGAATTAATATAATTGAGTCTTTAATATAAGAACTTAAAATAGCAATGATTTAATAAAATATTAAATATAATAGGCAACAAGTCGAATTTAAATTAAATCAAGTTAATTTGAATTCAAATCTAATTATTCATTTATATATCTAAATTTAATCCAAAATTGTATAAAATTATCAAATTTGATAAATAATTCAAAATCCAATATAAAAATATTATGCTTTCACACTTAAATTCTTTAACTCTATTTCATCAATTACATTTGTCTCTAAATTTTTTTGATTTTTTCAAATTTAATTTCTAAAAGTTTGAATATATACAAAATTATTAATCTAATAAAAGAATATTATTTTATACTTTTTTTCCTTGATGTTAAATGTCACGACCCGGTGTCCGATCCGTGACCGGCGCTAAGGTTAGAACGAATTCCAACCCCGCAAGCCTATCAAACACGAAACTGAAAATTTCATAAATAATCATAATTTCTAAATCAAAATCTGAAATACGAAACAATCATCAAAACATGTCTCTACACTGAAAACCTGTTTGTGATCTCAGAGCTAACTAAAAGAAACGAAACAATACATCAAAATGAAATAGAAACTAACTACTATCTCGAGAACTGAATCAGATAGTCAAGATCGATCGACTCCTATCACGCAGCAGGATCCGTCGGTAGAGTCGAACCTGAGTCTGGAAAATAAAAGAATGAGTCTATTGACCCAGTGAATAATAATACATATTTACATGCGAGAGACGTATATCCAACATTTATTGTTTTAAAGCATAATTCTCAATTCATACAAGTTAGGGAGTTCGACACTGAGAACCAAACAGAAACAGGACAGCAAATTCATCGTATGCCGATATACGGATATCAGGACGGCGACTCAAAGTCTGCCATAAATCAATAAACAGACCTACCATGTCAGCTACATATGATAGTCTAGTACCACCTCTGCTAGCTGGGGTACAACCCAAGGTGCACCCAGTCTAACGCCTATTACCGTTAGTTACAGTGTTCTAACAGTTCGATACTCCCTTAACATCAATTATCAGAGTTTAATAGAATAAGTTATCAGTTTTCAAATTCTCTAAAGTATGTCAATGTTCGAAATCAGGAGTTTCATAAGTTTTCCAACAAATCAAATAATGACATATACGTCTCTCGTAATTTTTCTAACAATTTAATTCAAACTGAATAATAACTGAAATAATTTCAATATATGTAAAAACAGGAATTTAAACAAGTATAATAGCAATTCAAACATATAAATATCTACTATTACTCACAGAAACCGAGAACCACGAAAATTGAGCTTCAACGATTCGGCTCCCCAAAAGTCAACCAATTAATCTAAAGATAATCAAAATATTCATTTTAGAACGTAGTATTTCTCAAAATTAATTAAAAAGTAAATTATTCTAAAAAACCCAACCCTATTCTTGATTTTCATGTTTTAAGCCATTTCGGGAATCTTAAAATCTCGAATCGATCGATATAATATTGAACCGAACATTTTACATATTGAACCGAACTTGAAACTTATTGAACTAGTGAGGAAAACCACTGAACCGAGACAACAACCCATTAATTCAACTTCAAAACCATTAAACCCCTTAAACCACCCACGAAACCCCTTGAACCGGGCTTAAACCTATTGAACCAGCCTCGAAATACGTAAAACCAGTCATGAAAATCACAGAACCAAATTTAGATTTACTGAACCAGTGACTAAGGGCCCTGAACCGGCCACAGATACAATGAACCGTGGTATTTCAAATTTTTCATTAATTTCTTAAGCATTGGATAGGCTGGTTCACTATTGAACCGGCCGGTTTTCACTTGAATCGGCCTGTTACTATGTGGATTATTTAATTAGCTTCTTAACATAGCTTGAACTGGCCGAGAACCGGTCCAAAAAGCCTTGAACCGGGCCTTAATATCATAAACCGTGGTTTTCTAATTTCTTTTTATTTTCTTCAACGTTGGACTGGCTGGTTCACCATTGAACTGGCCGTTTTCACTTAAACCAGCCTAGAATCGAGTAGACAATTAAATTAGCTTTATAACAGTGCTTTGAACCGGCCAAGAACCGGTCCAGAAGCCACTGAACCGGCTGGTTTTCTCATTTCTGCCTTATTTAATAATTTCTACTATTCTTTTATATTTTCTTTTTTTTTCTACCGGGTCGGATCCAAAATCTGGATCCTGCCCCAAAACCTGTTCAGACTACTGGGCTGGGCTTGATTCATGGCCTAGTCCTCAAACTTCTTGTCCGGCCTAAATCATCTAGGCCAGCCCAAGCCCAATTACTAAATGAACTAAACAAACAGCCCAGCCCGTTGAATCAGGCCAACCCGCATCCGTCCAGGTTGTGTCTTCTCAACCTGAAACTCTATAACACCCGAAAGCATTCAAACAGAATTAGATCTGAAAATTACCTCTTGTTGTTTGAAATCAATTCTTCTACGAGGCTCGGAATGAAGAATCGGCAGCCTTTGATCAATTTCCTCCCTTCGATTTGCTCCGCTTTGTTTGATTTTAACCAAAACCCAAGCAATCAGACAAATCGGCCGTCGAGCCTCTACCCTCAAAATCCCAGCAAATCAGAAACTGGATTTCAAAATTAATTTGGGACTTCTGTAACTCTCCAACAATCGATCTAATTTATAAAGATAAAAATTAATCCGAATGGCTTTGAAAGTATCGGATTTTGATAACTTCCTCACTCGTGGGTTCATGGATCCGAACATCTCGGACGTTCAGATCACGTCGAATTTTTTTTTATTATTATTTTTTCTATTATTATTATTTTTTATTTACCTTAGGGTTTTACATTAAAGGTTTATATTTAGGTAAAGTAAAAAAATTTAGTCTTTAAATAATTTTATATGTATTTTATCATTTTGACTTAATACTAAGTTTAAAGCTAAAATTTTATTATGAGACTTTATTTGAAAATTTACTTTACTGGCCCATGCAAATATAATCTATATGAAATAAAGCACTATTTACCAAAACGAAACTCATTTTTCTTCAAAAAATCATTTTTCATAGTTAGAAGTTAAGAATTAACATAAATAAATCTTTAATAAAACAACCTACAATAGTAATGTTTTAATAAAATATTAAAAACAATGTATCTTTAGGAAAAAAAATTCGGATCTTCTCCAAATGGGCTACGGAATTTCTTTCTAACAAGTTGGTAGAAATGAGATTATATAAATTGTTGAACAATGAGTTTATTTTTAAAAAAAATAAATAAATATAAATAAATTATATGAGAGGTTCAATTAGAACTATTAATATATCAAATTTAAATTAAATCATATACATATAAATTCGAATCTAATTAATTATTAGTATATTTGGATACGATACAAAAAACTATAAAATTTATGTTTTGGACCTGAAAGGAGATGGGCCCGTGAACTTTCTTCCTCAAATCAGAATTATGTCTAATTTCATTTATTTATGTAGCTTAGGATTAAGATTAGACATGGGTTCTGAATTTCTCGTGGCTTCTTTTTTTGAAATTCCATAAATAGGTGTATATCTAAGGTGCGTTTGGTTAAATTTTTTTTTTTTTAAAATGTATTTTTGAAAGTGATTTTTTCTAGTTTAGGTATGTAAACGGGTCAGATTTAAATTAAATCAAGATGATCCGAAATCCGAATAAAAAATCTGATTCAAATAACTATTAATAATAATTGAAATCAAATAACCAATAAGTAAAATATATATAAAATTAAATAAATTATTATTTATGAATAATAAAAATTCATGTAAAATTTATATTTAATTATTTTACTTTTATTAAAATATAAATAAATTTCAAAAATAAATTGTTATTTATGAATGATTAAAAAAACCTTTTATTATATAATATATTACAAAAGTAATAATAGGATTCCAATACTTTATAAAATTATCCAGTTTTATTGTATTATAGTTAGAACTTAGAAAATTTTATAATTAATTTATTTAAGTTTTTCATGAAATTTTAAAAGTAATTAATTATTAAATATAATACTTACTAGAAAATTTAAAATTAGGAAAAGTAAAAGAATATTATAGAATAGTTTAGAAAAAATATATATTATTCTATTAAATAAAATATTTCACAAATACAAATTAATATATTATTAATTATAATATCATATATATTACATTATATATAAAATTATTTATTAATATATAATTATTAATTAAATAAAAATTATTATTAAAATATTCAGATTCAGATTTTTAACAGATCGAATTGTTTAATTTTATATTCGGTCTACTTATTTCGGATTACGGATATTTATAATCGGATTTAATCCATTTGACATTTTAATCGGTTAAACGGCCTAAAATTCGAATTAAATTCGGATCAGATTTGGATTAAAATCTAACTCATTAATAACCCTATCCCAATTTATCTGGAAGAAAAAGTTTTTTTTATTTTAAAAAGTATTTTTGAACTGTTTGAATATAAAAATATAAAAATACTTTCTTCCCTTCTAAAATTACAATAAAGAACTCTCTGCTGGACCACTTGGTACGACCTATATATTTCCAGTCTTTAAGGTTGGCGGGTTATAGGCTAGAGGCCATCTGAGGCATATTGGGCCTAAACAAAGTAGGCACAATGAAACCTGATCTTGCCTCCAAACCAATCTCAACTGTCCAATTTAGAACCCGACAGAAGCTATTGGGCCTAAAAGAATATGGGCCCATGAAATTAGAATTATCGGACAAGTAGGTCCACAGTCCATTTCATTTCCCTCTCATATTTCTATATTCATTTGAGGATTAAATGCAAAATTTCTTCATGGCTTCTTTTCTTGAAAGTCGACAAACCGGTACACATCAGGCCGCCTCTGCCTCTCCATCGGCATCGCCTCCCTGCACAAACAACGCAACGTCTATAAGCAATTTCAGCAAACTTGTCTTCAAATTCAGGAAACACAAACGGCAGCTCACCTCCGATGTTGAATTTTAGAGTAATCGATCTCTCCCATCACCACCGTCTCTTCATGGCTCGACGTGGCAATTATTTCGCCAAACTGTTTTGAAAAACAGAAAAACACGAAATTCAAACACAAATAAGAGTGAATCTAGCAGTACAGAGTTTGAAACCTTCCAGTACCGGTCCAACGACGGTAGAATGTCCCCATATTGTATAGCTGCCGACGGAGTCCCGAGACGGCGAGCATGTAGCTACATATAACTATCGCAAGCAATTACAAATCAACCATGCGTTCATATTTCAAGTTATGAAAAAAATTACAAGAAAATAGGAGAGTTTTAGTTTTGAGTACCTGGTTATCGGCTGCCCTGCAAGTCCACAGAGGGAACAACGTGAAAATGGAATACTTTAAAATTGTGGTAAAATGGAAGCACTTTATTACAACAATTGTTACCCATCTCATATCCAATAAAGGGAAAACCGAATAATGGATTATAAGAAAATATGCTACAAATGCAAGGATGGAAATAGTCTAATTTAATTTTGACTTCACTCAACTCATTTATCTAATTAAATTAAGTTTAGATTAAAAAATTATCTTTTTATTTAAACAGAATTGACTTAATTATATTTGGTTTGACTTATAAACCTATAAGCCAGTTTATATAATTAATTATATATTAAAAATATAAATTTAAATATAATTTATATTATATATGTTATATATTATATACAATATAATATAAAATATAAGATATTTTTATAGTTTAAATGGAATGGCTTAATAGATTAAGAAGTCAGGTTTTATCAATTTTATAAACAAGCTATGCCAAGGGTAATCTATTGATTTATTATAAGTCATGAGACAAGTTCATGTTAGTAAATTTTATAATAGGTTTGACTTTTTTAAATTTCAACTTGACTTATTTAGAAAAGAACAATGATTCTATCACAAATAATATAATAACTGACTCTAAAAAATTAGTTTAGTGGTGGCCAAACGTCTTTTGAGAGAGATAGGTGGGAGAGATTGTATAAACCTTACCTTGTGAGAGTGTCAGCAATTGGAGTGGGGGGTTTGTAAATTTTATATCAAATAAAATAAAAGGAAGATACTTGGTTACGAGAGAAATAACTTCAGAGGATAATTTATGTTTAAAAAAAAGTAAAAAATTAAATAAAAAAATGCACTTTAAATTATGGACTTCTTGTATATTTTGCTTGGCAGCTACTCCATTTACATGCAATTTAATGATCCAGAAAAACAAGAATTTATTTGGGTAAATTTGATATGATTTCATTTTTGCTGAACCGTTAATAATTTTAACTATTTTGACATATTTTAATGCGAATATAAATTACTCGCCTTGCTCTTTGCTCCAGCTCCCACAGCATTTCGCCCGTACTCATGCTAAATGCCCCGGGATAGCATATCAAATCCGCACCTGAAATTACAAGTATTTACTAAATAACCATAGTGCAAGCAGAAGAAAACCATTCATGGGATTTCTCCATTTCCTTGTTTTGCACCTCTTGCTTGGTATAGCATCGCAAGTTCAGGGAAACGTATGTCGTGGCAAATTCCTATGCCGATGCGACCTACATCTGCATTTCAACAGGAATGAAATTTCTGCTTGGAATAAGTAGGAACAATTGAATATGTGAAGCTCCAAAAGAAGCACAAGTGACCTATAAAAGTCAAATATTTTCCCAGAAAGTAGCTGAAGATGGAGAGATTGGAAAAGGGTAAATATAAATATTATGCATTTTGGAGAAGAATTTAAAAAATTAGGGGTATTTGGTATTAGTGCTTTTTGGGTTTCAAGCTTTTCCAAGGATGTTTGGCTTTTGAGTTCAGAAGCCAGCTTTTCAGTGAGAAGCCAGAAACCCATTTTGGTTGTTTTGTTCTCAAGGTAAAAAGACGGCTTCTCTGAGAAGTCCAAACAAGTCCAAAAAATGAAAGACTTACTTTTAGGAGTTTCTCATCATGAGAATCAGCTTTTCACAAATCAAACACCATAAAAATTGATATCAAAAATTCATGCATCTAAGAGGTACAATGCAAGGAAAATTTATGCTTGTATTTACTAAAAAACCATGGTTTTTCTAAGGATGTTTCAAGCTTTTTGTTGGTGTTTCAAGCTTTTCCAAGGATGTTTGGCTTTTTAAGTTGTGAAGCCAGAAACCTATTTTGGTTGTTTTGTTCTCATGGTGAAAAGACAGCTTCTTTGAGAAGTCCAAACAAGCCCTAAGAATTAAAAACTTGACAATCAGCTTTTCACAAACCAAATGCCAAAAAAATTGATATCAAAGAGTCAACTTTTTGAAGATGTTTGATCAGTAAGAATCTGTTGCACTAGAATAAGCTCTTAGAACAAATCTCTCATTTTTCTTTTAGCTTCTTCTGACTTCTCACCATGAGAATCGAATGCCCAGAATGGACTTCTGGCATTTAAGTGAGAAGCCAACTCCTGAATAATACAGTCATCGAAACGTTTAAGACTTGCAATAAGCTGCTGGCAGACAGTCTCCACAAGTTTGATTCTTTTTTTCCTTGTACAACGAACAACTTTAAAAATCAGAGGATTGTTTTTATTTATGAGTTGGGAGTTCCTGGAAAGCATTTCTGGAAATAGGAACAACATGGATTTCCCAACATTGCGAAATTTTGTGAAATTGGAAAGTAATTCAAAATCTATTCACTACATGTCCAGAACGAGCAATATCTAACAGGGTGCTGCAATCCAAACAAGATGGTCATTCCATGTGATTTAACCTCACGCTTCAGCCAGATTTTGATAAATCTGAGAAGTAGATCCATACCTGTGTCAACAATGGTGGGTTGGTCTCCAGCTGCAAATGTATCCGATTCCTTAAACAAAATATCTCCTGGAATGTCAATGTCAAACAAATGCAGCTGCAAAACATCGCCATTTCATAAACGTTAAGTTTATTTTCATGAATTTAATTTAGAATTAAATGTGCTTACTTTGCTATGCTTGGCCTTTAGTTTTCCATTGGGTCCAAACACACAGCAGGTGTTGTAGAGCTGACCGTCTCTCCTCTCCGGCATAGATCCGCCTACTAATGTGATCTTATGGCTGAAAGAAACTTCCGACAACATGGAAAATGATGGTGATCCATCCTTGTTGTGATCAAAATCCTCAGCAAAATTTTCAAAGTAATCGGTTGAATAAGGACAGTTCCACATTTCCTATGAAAAACCCAAGCAAAAACTAATCAAAATGAATTAAGAATCCATTGAAGTTGAAAGATATATTCACAAAAATTTACAAAGAACAGGATTCAAGGTTTAAGCATGTCTAAACAACATCAAGGGTCAGTTTCCTTTCTGAGGTTCCTTGGGTTGACCTGACTTTTTGAGCTTTTGGCCACTGAATATGCTTTACGGACTCAGATTTTAGGTTTTCTAGTTATGTTAAAAAGCCTTTGAGCCAAAAGTTAGTAAATTGAAACTTCTAAGCTTTTCTTGCAATGATAATAACTCATTGGGATAATTTTTTTGATATACTTCATTTGTATTCAAGGATAATTCTTGTAGTTTATTTTGAAAAGAAAAAGTCAATTATTGATACGAGAGACCAAATACACTTCTTCACTTTGGGTGCTAAAGAGGTTTTCTAAATCGGACTTTTTTTGGCACCCAGGTTTATAAGACTAGAATACAAGTTATGTCTGCCCAAGGAACCCAAAGTTTCAAAATCATCTAAATATTGATTTCCAATAGTATGATTTAACTAGGCATAAGGCAATAACACAAGGTGTTTGGCTTTTCAAAAAATCTTGGCTTTTTCCAAGTCCTGTTTGGTTTATTAAAAAAAAAAGGAAAAAAAGAAAACTATAGATCAACCCAACACATGACAAAACTCTGAAAAGAAAATGCCATTGATTCAGGTGCCTAAAAACCTCAAGAGAACAAAATTTTAAAGGAAACAGCTGGGCCTTTTTTCCATAACCCAAGAAAAGAAGAAGAATGCTGAATACCAAAAAGTGGGTCGACTCACAGGTAAAACAACAAGGCTTGCTCCCTGTTTGGCAGCCCCTGCAATCGAGCTTCTAGCATGAGCCAGATTAATGTTCTTGTCTGACGTAACTGACAACTGACAGAGGCCAATCTTGAACTGCCCTGACAGACAACAGCGTAATCGATCTCAAGCCAACATGTCCAGCCATGAAACATGAATAGAGTTTCGTTTTCAAATAACAGTTTTGGCAACAATTCTGCAAAATATATCAGATCGGAAAGTACATATATCTATTTTCATGCGATTACGTATACCAGCAAGATCAAGATGCACATTTTCTACATATGAAGCTGACCCAGAAAAGATCAAACAGTTAGAAGTGGAGAAACCTTGGTAACATTCGGCATTTCCGAGGGCTCTGATAGTTTTTGCTGCTTCAGTTTCAGTTCCTCTTCTCTGTATCTGGTTTGTTGCTTCGTTTGACTTCGCAGTTAGGTATCCATGCCCGCCATGTGATCGAGGAGTCAAAACGACAAAATGATCTATGTTACCCAGACCCGACCCGCTGTAGATGTGGGCCCAAGTGCCAGCTAGGCTGGGCCTGGAGTCCGGGACCAGCAGGCCTGGGTCCCAAAAACCGGGCCAACCCAGATGAGCCAAGTTCAAAGGGGGAATGGATCGGGTCAGGGAGGAATCAGAGCCGGGTCGAGTGACTCGGGTCATCTGCGTGCGAAACTTCAGAAGCGAGGAACGAATAATTCAACTGGGACTTACTATTTTTGGAGGAAATAGGCTGGCCATCAAATTAATTTAAAAGAAAAAATTTTGAATTTCCGCAAATTGATGATAAGATTGTTTGGTTAAAAAGTATTCAACAAACAAGTTTAATTAGAGTTATCAACGTATCAGATTTTGATAAAATTAGATAAATTTAAATTTAAACCTAATTAATCATTTTCATATCTAAATTCAACCCAAAATTCTATAAGATATATATTTGTTAAATCATAATTGAATTTAATAAATAATTTAAAATCTGATAAAAAAAATCTAATTTAACAAAAAATAACATTATTTTATATTTAAGTTTTTTAGTTATATTTTATCAGTTATATTAATTTTTTAATTTTCTGATTTTCTCAAATTAATATATATAAATTTGAATTTATTAATATTATTCATATAAAAATTTTAATTTATTAAAAATTATTAAAACTTGGATTTAAATCCTTAACATATTAGATTACTTAATTTTACATCCAATACATTTTTTTAACTATAATTGAATCTTATTTATCGAATATTTTAATCAAATTTAAATATTAAATTTGTATTGAATTTAGATCAGATTCAAATTAAAATTCAACACAAGGTACCAAGTGTGCAGAAAGTGTTTAATTCAAAAATTTTTGAAAGCCTTTGGACTTGATTCCTGCGTTTCTTCACTGGTTTTTTTTTTTTGTCTTTGATTGGAATGTGTACTTTTTATAAAAATAATAAATTTTTTTAAGTTTTTTTTAAATTGAAAATATTTCATATCTTAACACTTGAACTAAAATGATCCTACACAAAATTAACACATCATTTTGTGTAATATTTTATGTAATAACATATCAAGATTTTATGTCCCATCAAAATCGTAAAATTCCCATTTTTTTTTATTCTCTTGGGTGAAAAACATCTTAAAACACTCACCACCTTGTTTTACTTTCCTGACGAAATAATATGTTTAAATTTTAAAAAGCAACATTATTTTTTATTTATTCTTAAAAAATTAAATTTTCTAATATCTTAATTTTTTTCTAATTAAAAAAATAAAAAACACAGGTCCTTAAAAAATCATATGAACCAACCCGGAAACAAAACCGACGTGATTGAACCGAACCCGCGACCCACTTGCCACCTCTCAACGCAAGTCATCCTTCATGATTTATATCTTGTGGATCAAGAGTATGGCCAATTGTTCGGCGGATACACTGAGCCACATTCTTTCGTAGGAAGCCTTTGTCCGAAATCATGGGCACGGCATTCACGGTCGGTTTTTTTTAATTTTTTTATAAAATTATATTATATTAATTTTTTTAATTTTTTAATATTAAAATTAAAATTATATTTTTTGATACTGATATTATTATTTCAATTTTATTCGATTTTGGTATAGTTTGGTATAATTTTTATAATTTTTTTAATTATATTAAAATATTTAAATAAACTAATAAAAATTTTATAAAATCTTATAAAAAAAATTTTAGTATATAATTAATATGAAAAAAATTCAAATAATTTCAAGATTATATAATGTTAATGATTTCCTACATTTAAAGTTTTAATTTCAAAACTTTCATTAATAATCATTTATAATTTTCTATTCTTTATCTCACAATATATTAGAAACAAATTAAAAATCATATAAAAACAATGAAAAAGTTAATTTTATTTAATCTAATTTTATATAACTTTTAATCAATTTAATTAAAAATTATCATTATTAGATGATTTAATTAACTTATATATAATATAAATATTTTAATTAATAACTTATAATCTAATTATTTAGAAATTTAATAATTTTATATATAATATAAATAATTTAATAAATTATTATACATAATATATTAGTATAGTATATTTTAAATTTAATTTTATTTTTCTTTAAATATGTATTCATTATTTTATACTTAATTTTTATTGATAGTTAAAATATAAAATTCAATAATTTCTATTTTAAAAACTAAAATTTAAATCTTATTATTTGTATTTATTTGGTAATGATATTTTTTTAATTTAAGGTTTTTGATGGAAAAAAAATCTAATACTTAGTTCAAATTTCTTTATATGTATTTTTTTTTATTTTATTTTTTTTCTAGAATTACTTTTTAGATCTGTTAAGTGAAACTTTTTATTTATTTACAATAAAAAATTTGTATTTAAGAAATACTCTTTTTTTATGTGAAGATTTATCATGTGTTAGGTAATTTATGAAATTTAAATGAAATGATAAATTAGTAAATTATTCACTATATTATAACATGAATTTGATAATAAAAGAAAATAAAAAAAATAATCTCATTTTCTAATAAATATACAAATTAATAAATTAATTATAAAAATAACAAATATATTAAAAAAAAATTTTTACACTTTCATCCATAATATTTATACTTTTTTTTCTATGATATTACTCAACTTTCAATACAATTTAGTACAAAACTGTTCGGTTCAATTTTTAAAATCATAAACACCCTTAATTATGAGGCACAACTTTATGTGTGTACCGATTAGTCCGTTTGTATCGTATTTGTTTTTGGCTTTGCTATAGTGTGTTTCAGGAAACACAAAATTTCAAATAAGTCTCACCGGAAGTTGCCAAATGACTTTTTTTCCCCCAAAACAGGAAACAGTTCTACAAACAAATCCGAGCATGCTCTATATATCTGTTGGCACCTCCACTCGTTCCCCTTCATTTTCCATTGTCATCACAATATAAGTATATAATCTCTCTCCATTTGTAATAACATCTCAGGTTCAAACACCTTATCTCAAAAGAATAATCAATTTCCGGGCTTTATGCGGATAATCCGACTCTAAAAGACAGGCTCAGCTGACAATTCTACCCTACGTAGATGATTCCCAAAAGAAAAGCTCTTCTATGAGCTGCAGTAATCAACTGAGCTTTTAGGCCATACTGATTTCAGAAACTTCTCTTCCAGCCCTCATAACACTTAAAACAAAAACATTGAGGTGGCATTGAATCGGGTTATTAAGTCTTCAAGGGAGCCTTCTTTTCTCTGTCGGAAATACGTGCAGGTGCTGTTGAATGAGATTTGAACCGACCTCTCCCACCATCTTCCTTCTCCTGAAAAATTCAAGGAAAGAATAATTATTTTGCCTCCAGAGGCACACTAATTGGGAAAATGATGCAATAAACTCCACATGATATTACTAGTAAATGATTTATTTAAATTAAAAGAGGGTTTTTCACAGAGCCAAATTTACAAAGTTCTGCTTTTCTGGGGCGCTAAAACATCAGAGTTAAAAGGAAGGAAAAAGCAAAATGTTAAAAGACATGACTTCCCAAGTAAAAATCACTAGATTGCATCAAACTGACAAAGCCCAATTCCATGTTTGGTCTCCTAGCTTTTTAGGCAAAGAGCAGGGAAGCAGCCTATCAGCTAGTCGCCTTTCTGGTCTAGAAGCCAAAAGCTATAATATCCTGGCCTTTCGGATCATGGTCTACTAACATAAAACCCAACCACAACATCTTGACTTGTGTGAATTTTGGGCATAGAAGATGATTGCACAAGCACAAAAAGTCATGCAACCAAACAGGGTAACAGGGTGGCTTTTGCACTCAGCAGGGTAAAGGCAAAGAATCTGCTGGGCTAAAGAGGAATATTTTCAGCAACATAGTTCAGAAAGCAAATATTTTAGAAGCCACCATCAACTTTACATACATCACACAAACAAATATCCAGAAAAAAATGCAAATAAACCCTATTTGACTTATTTTGCAGAAACAAAATGGTCCACGCACCTTTTTCTTAACAATCTGAACTACATCCTCATCCTGAAGAAGATGGCCAAGGCCACAGTGCTGTGGATAATGTCTTGCACTTGCACCCCATACCAACACATACTTCACATCCTTTACAATACTCTTGTGTATGTGATTACAGAAGTCCTCAACTGTGCAGCCACCTCTATCCTAAAATCGCATGCCAATATAAAAAAGAAAAATCAAAATTAGATATATGCAAAATTTTGCCACATGGAATAATTCGAAGTATATATTTAAGAATGACTGTAAGATTTGAAACACACAGCAGAAAGAACAAAAGGGTCTGTAAAATCAGGTTGCTGGCCTTGTGGCTTTGAATAAACTCTCACAAGCCCCATCTCCTCCCACATCCTTGCCAACAGTCTGTCAAGATTGAGCTGTTTAACATAATTACCAAACAGTTCAGTCACTCAGTGAGCTCTAAATAAGTAATTTTGATCAGCTTATGAAAACATGCCTTATTTATGTAAAAATAGCATAGACACGTAAAGACCAAACAGGATGGAATACAAGAAAATACATTTCACAGGAAAGACGCGCCAAAAGCAAAACAACTAGTGATCAATTGGCAACTGACAATCTGCTGTAAACACACTGTTTCTAGCAACTACTTTTGGCACTTAATTTGCATTTCTATTGTCACCAAGTACCACACAGACTATAAACTAGAACCAATTACCATCTTCAGCTTTCCGCTTCACCAATCACCAAAGCAGAACATATTGTTTGACTCAACATAAGAAATTTGCTAAAAATGCTCAGTATATACAGTAGATCCAGAGTATTTGAACAACTATAGGCTCTTAGGTCTCAATGACCAGACATGAATAAGTTCAATATGTTTGGCCCTGCAAATTAGTGCAATCAAATAAACAAAACTACCTTCAAATTGCAACTAATAACCACTGAATTTGGTTGCCGGGCTAGTCTGTCCACATCATCAATACCAACAACATCTATCTTGTTGTAGACATAGATGCACTTCATGTATTTACGGTTCCCCTCAATAACATCAATAAGATCATCCACAGTAGCATCCTCACGAAATAACACCTACACAGCATAAAATTATCAGCTAATATACATTTATTCTTGAAAAGTTCACAAGAAATTTGGAATCTTAAAATGAACCAACTAGGAACAATGCACATATACACATAAGATAAAAATGGTACACAGTCTAGGAGATTCATGAAAATGGCTTAATCTAACTTTTATCCTACACATTTTTTTGCCATAGAACTTGTTGATTTTTTGGGGCCATGTAATTAAAGGTTGTAGTTAACGTGATGAAGCTAAGAAGTGTTCTCTTGCCACTGTTTAACTACACCCTGGAAGCATATGCAACACATCTGAAAGCAAACCACAGCAAGTGTGCCATATTTAGCCATGGTACTATGTAGTTCGAGGCTGAAATTAGAATAAGAATGCAGAAAAGAGTAAATGCTTCAAGGCTAAGATTAATAAGCAAATATCCAGAGGTGGAGCCCCAACTCTCTCCAGCCAGATCACTTAAAGCGACAAAAACACTAGAAAGTTAAACTCTCAGTAGTTGATTTATACACTACACTTTTTCATCCATACAATAACATCAATTACAAGTTCCTGGAAGTTTAGATGCTTAGTAGATTCTATACAAGTAGTAATAGTGTCAGAAAGAATTTAAGGTGAATACCTCTGCATTATGAATCTTGTACTCGTGCAGAATTTGATAGCAAAGCTTCTCATCTACATGAGTTAGTGGTACTGTGCTGTTAAAAGAGATACCCCCAGTTTTTTTCTTTTTAAAATATATCTGCAAATGAAACAAAAGCAACATTTCATGCAAGAAAAATAATCAGAAAAACAAAGGGGGTAGGGATGTATAAGCTATTGATATCCAGTCAATTTTTCACAATCTGAAGTTAACGAAAAACCAGATCCCACTGAGTGAAGGTTACTCTAACAGAGCTGTAAGGCTTCTATTCTAGAGCATAACCAACAAATACCTTGCAACAAGAAATAAAGGTTAAGAAGGGCTTTTCCAGAGTATATATACAGGGATAGGAAACTTTCCTAAGCCATCTTAAAACACACTGAGCATGAAATTTTATGGACTGTGCACAGCTTGAGACAACAAATTTTCACAATCTTGGATTGTCAATGCTAATCGGCAGGAGTTCAAAAGGAGCACAAACCTTGGTATCACAGTATGGGTTGCTCAATTGCAAACTGATGCACAGTTTCAAGCCACAATAATAGACTACTAAACTACTTCCATCAGGGTTAGACTTAAAAATATTCGACAGATCCCATGAATAGGCAGCCATTTTTATCATTATATCTATGATTCTCTCTCACACTTTTTTTGGGCCTAGGGTGGGGTTTTTTTTTTTTTGTTTTGGGTGGGGGGGCTTGGGCTTTATAAGCCTGTTCACAGGCCTTGAACCAGCCCGGTCTAGGACCAGACCGCCGGTTCCAGTCCTGGAAAATGATGAATTGGGATTAAATCCTTGAAAGTCAGTCCGGTTCCGGTTCCATTTCATAACAGTTCGAATCTAGTTCATGGTTCCAGTTTATGACAGTTCCGGTTCAGATCTAAGCTAGTTCACGATTTTGGTCCGAGCCAATTCATAGTTATGGTCCTAGCTGGTTCACGGTTTCGGTTTTGGTTTGTTCGCAATTCAGTTCAATTCTTGTTCAATTTTGTCAAAAAAATTTATATATTGACTTTCAAATATTTTTGGTTTATTAAACATTTTTCAAATAACTTGTTTAATTATTTAATAACTAGTAATAGATTTAATTATTAATCCATTAAATACTAACCTATTTGTTTGGATAGAGAATAACAAAATATTAGTATGAATTTTATAAAATTTTTTTCTATTTTCAAAAAATAACCATGTCTAACATTATTTTTAAAACATACTCTTTTTATTAAAAAAAAAAATTTAAATTCATATTATTATTTTCAATCAATAATAAAAGTAATAAGATAAAAAAAATTAAAAAACATAATACAAGTTTTCATAGTTCATAGTTCATTTATACACGGTTCTGATTCACAATTCATACGGTTTCGGTTCACGATTCACGGTTCACAGTTCATATACTGTTTCGGTTCACGGTTCATATACGGTTTCGGTTCACGGTTCAATTAACATAGTTCTATCCTGTTCTAGTTTGCTGGTTCTGGTACAGTTCCAATTCCCGTTCAAAAAATCTTGAACCTTAACTAGACCGGTTACCCCCACGATTCAGAACCAGACAAGACCAGACCTTGCTAGTCTGGTCCCGTTTTTTATGGGTCCGATCCGGGCCAATTCACAGTCCGAACCAGACCCATGAATAGGCTTAGGGCTTTATATGCCATAATATTTTTAACTCAATAATTCACGAAAAGAATGACTGGCAGTGGCACCTTTTCCAGCTTGCCTATAAACAATCAAGGTATCCTGGGCATACCCCTAACATGAAGTGATGCTTGAGATATAAATACTCAAATTTGATGACAAGAGAACTTCTAGGATAGGCATTGGTGGAATCCAACTTGCAAGGTATATTTAAAAAAAAAAGGAAAAAAAATAAAACAATAAAATGATTACAGTAAATCCTGAATTATGTAAGTCATTCCACCAACAACTAGAAAATTTATCTGAATAATCAAGAGTATGATACATTACTTGAGGTGGTCTCTTGTTCAAACGCAGGCCCACAGCTTCTAGCTCCCTTGTCAATATTTGCCGATGCCCCTCGCTCTGTAAGTATTGCATAATTAGTTTACATACAAAGCAAGGAAACTAGATTGCAAACCACAAGACATGGAAGTACAACAAATCTGTTGAAAAGAAAATGACAAACAGCAGATAGAGATCGGATACACAGCAAATTGCATAAAAGATATACAAGCATGGTTCACCGCTAGACAACAGCAACTAAATGCAATCTCTACCCAACTTCAAAGACATGGTACAAGCTGCATAGTTTAAGCCCGTTATAAAATGATCGCCAATCTCTTAGTTGCCAATAAATAAATAATCAAAACTATCCTATTATACAGAAACTAAGTTGCATTTTAAACTTTTGCTGAGTGGCATGTGTGGAGTGTTGTCAATGTGCCAAAGGGAATATTATTAATGGAAATCCTTTTTTTTTCCTTCTCCTAAGTTAATGTTTTAGTTCTCTCTCCTCCAATTAATACTACAAAATACATTAGTATAAAAGAAAACATATAACCAAAAATTAAAATACAATGAGATACTTAATCAAAAATCAGGCAAGATGTGAAATTATTTTGATTTTGATTATAGTTTTAAAGTGAGAGATCTATAAAGAATTAATCATTGTTTTCCTCTCCATTTTCCAAACAATAAGATTAACATGTATTTATAATCATCATTTACTGATAGTTCATAGCAGAATTTATTTGCTTTATTGGCATCTACTAGAATACATTCTCATACCCTCTAATGAAATTCTGTATAAGATGATTAGTTAATTGATAAAGTTAAGATATTGACTTCTCTTTATTTAAAAATAAATAAATAAACAAATATACTGCGTGACCATAACAAGAGAATATTTTACATGATAAGCAATGAATTATAATTCAAAACAATGACTTCTATCATACAATTTTTCATAACTCAATGAAATGTTATGTATTGAAATTAAATTTTAAAAGGAACTTCAAACTGAAGAAACTTGTAGTAAAAAAAACTGTTTCTTATCAAAAATATAAAAATATTATATTATATACTATAAATGTAACAAATCCTTCCTTATGAACAATCTATGAAAAGATTATGCAGGGACATCTGTTTTGTTGAATAGAGCACCTACTCTGCATAGATTGCATATATCGGCATTCCAGCCCATTTTAGTGGAAGGACGTGCTATTTGTTTACATACATTAGTTTGTAAGGGATTCAATGCAGACTTTGATGGGATCAAATGGCTGTTCATGTGCCTTATCTTTTGAGGCTCAAGCAGAGGCTCATTTACTTATGTTTTCTCATATGAAGTGTCACCACGGGCAAAACACTAGCTTAAAGGAATTTTAACTGGCTCAAGATGCAAACTGGAGTAAGTCTTAAATTCAGAGTTGGCAAATCAGACTACCGAACTGGATTAATAAACTCCAAAAAATTAAGGATGAGAATGTATGTTCAAGGATGCTGCAGAAAGAAACTGATAGTCAAAAAATAAAAAATAAAGGGCAAACAAAGGGATTTGGGGAAAAAAGGATAACAGGTTGAACTATAACAAAAAATTGTACAGTTAAAATTTTGGGGAAAACATTTAGTTTAAAAGATATTTGGAACCTAGCTGAGAGAGAGAGAGAGAGAGATGATATTGAAACAAGTTAGACAATGTTGCTGAGATCAATCAATCTATTTCTAACACTGTTTCTTTAGAAATATACAAGCAAATTCAGAACTATCCTTTCAGAAATGAAACAAAGAGCAGCCGGGATCCAGTTATGTAGAGGTCATTAATTTCTGGTGAACATTAAACAAAACAGATTCTGAGCACTTTGGTTCCCTAGTTGAATTATCACTGGATACAAATTCTAGTAATAACATACACAGTTATAGTTTAGAGAAGAAATTAAAACGTAAGTCTTAGAGATCTTCAGTCAGACCCATTTAAGTTTCATGATAACTGATTCATCTCCAAGCAACAGCAGGAAAATAAAATATAGAAGAAGACAACTTACTTTTGAGGCATCAAGAACCATTAAGACGATGTCTGAGGACTTGGAAACAGCAATAACCTGAGATTAAAAACAAGAAGTTTGGTCAAGTCTTGTATTCCAAAATATGCTAACTTGAAACCAAGCTACAGCACAGAATGAAAATGAAAAAAAAATCCATAATTCAGAATTTTTTTCCAATCTATCTGGAGCAGACTTCAGCAAAGTTAAGTGTAATAACTCACAATGAAAAAAACATATCACAAAATCTTTGAAAGATATAGTGCAATAAAATTCAGTAAGAACCATCTGATCTTACAACTTACAACAAGAAAACAACATACTTAAATCTTTACCTGCCTACCACGCCCCTTGCCTTCAGATGCACCTTCTATTATTCCAGGAAGGTCAAGCAGTTGAATTTTAGCATCATTATAGTGGATAATCCCAGGAATACAAGTAAGTGTAGTGAACTCATATGATGCAGCTTCTGAATGTGTTCCCGTCAACATGGTTAGAAGAGTTGACTTCCCCACACTACAAATAAAAAGAAATCACAGAGAAGATTACCGACCACAATAGAATCAAATGTCACAACTGATTGGTATGAGATTGTGTCCCCAAAAGAAGGCAACATATAAAAGAGTTGATGTATTAAAATACATCAATATAGCCACTCCACAGAAGATTATACTTCAATAGTGGCAAATTAACAGAAATAGTTGTCAAAAATTAGACCACAGTAGCAAACATCTAATATAGAAAAGCCACTAACAAGTAAGAGTAAGATGCTCCCTTGCAGCAACAGGGTTATGGCAAGTTTGACAGACCTTGGAAATCCTATCAATGCAACTCGTCCATGGCCATATTTTGTAACTTCAAAACCCTCTCCAGCTCCACTAGAACCCTGTTTCATTGTCAAAATATAAGAGAAGGCATACCACATTACATACATATATAGATGGCAAACAAAAGAAGTTTACTATTAGATCCAAGGTTTACTCTGTGCATATAACAAACTCAAGAGTATGGTCAAATGGATAAATAGAAGAACTTTCATACTTTTGGAGGCTCCAGTAGTTGTGTCCTTAGTTTTGCTATCTTTGCTTTGAGCTGACCAAGGTGATACTCTGCAAATTCAATAAAATGACATGAATCTTCTTATTGCATTGAACAACTATCTAAAAAGTGTGTGGCCACAAAAGACAGATGATGAAATATAGAGGGGCATGCGGACAAATGGCATTTATAAGTGGAGGAACATAAAGATTAAACTCCTTGAATTTATAACATAATCATTAAAATCTGTAGTCCAGAATTTAGAGTGAAATATCAAGTAAAAATTTTATAAAACTTTATTTATTTATTTATTTTCCATCCTTTTGGGGCGGGGGTGGTAAGGGTTTCGATACCTTCATTCAGCCATGTGAACAAACGAATACTGAGAAGGCTGATAATATTCTACACAAAAATAGATGCACTGGGACACAATATGGAAGGTGTACAAGGAAATTCAAATGAATAAATAGAAGAAACCTGTAGCCTTATTTTTCTGGTCCGAGCCATCTCGGCCTCAATTTCTTTATATCTTTTTCAATGATCCCCATTTTCCCTTATTTTGATCTGCCAAGGAGGAAAGAGTATAGAGAGAGTTTAAGAACATCAAACTGCTCCAATAGAATGATCATCAATTGGATGCTTGCAAAAATAAAACAACTACATTAAATCATCTTGAAGCATAATATCTTTCTTGTAAATAGATGCATGAGAAACCATGTCAAGCATAAAAGAAACTCACACACCACAATAAGATCAATAACTGTCATGGATCAATAAGCTCATAGCCAGATAAAAAGCAAGAGCAACAAAACAGTATATTTGTGGGGGAAGATTTCTGAGGAGATGAAGTTTGCAATGGCAAGGAACATTCATAAAGACAAAGTGAATTGCAATTTATCTGTATCTACTAATATCAATAGTCCCTAAAAGTCAAAAGCTTTTCAAGATCCAATTATCGCCTCTGAAATAGACAGTTACAATAGCACTTAATTCTTAAATAAGTATGAACTGAGGGCTTAAAAAAAAAAAAAAAAAAAAAATGTATTTGGGCAACAGGTACAACTAATTACGATCCTACATTACCATGGAAGCTATGATAAAAAATAAAAAAAACCAAGTATTTGGGCAACAGGTACAACTAATTACGATCCTACATTACACCATGGAAGCTATGATACAATTAGTTATCGTATCAGTAACTTAAACTTTCTTGAGTGGTTTGGCATCACCGCTTTTTGGTTAGTTCCATTTATTTCACACATTACGAACAACTAGATGATTATAAGCTGAGAAAAGAACAGGCCAATCGTGTTATCATGATTATATAACAATACAATTAAAATTTATGATAATATCAACAAAAAAGTGATAGACTAAAACATAAACAAGAGTTTTACCCTCCTGTTTCTTCAGATTTAGGAATGTGAAAATGCTTATTAGGTTATGCATTAAGCAAAGACAGACAAGTTTCGAAATTTTAATTAGCAGCCAAATATAACAAGTCCAAATAAAAAATCCCGTATAGAAGTACGCAGAGCTGGATGCACCACGAATATTTAAATACAAAATCGAAATACACACAATAAGTTTGTAGAAAAGCTTATGACATACTTGTACAAAAGAGAGACCTGGGTAAACACAGTTATCGTTTTCAGAGAGAGCTGGGTAAACACAATTATCGCTGAAGAATCAAAACGCAAACTCTTGAACCCTAACAACGCGAAAAAAAGGAGGGAACGAGAGTAATCGTCGATGAATTAAAAGACAAAAGTAGGCTTGGAACCCTAGAACTAAAAGGTTTATGAATCACTAATGATAGCAATGAAACGATATAATGGATCAATCGAGAACGTACTAAATCCAAGAAGGACGAGGCTGAGGAACAAGGAAAAATGGAAGGAGAAGCAATCACCCAATTTTTTCGCTCCGAGCCTTCAACCGATAATTTAAACAGTGATTTTGAAGGAGAGGATTAGTTTACAAAACAAGGCGAGCAAAACAAAGAGATGAAAATTGATAAGCTGAAAGAGAAGAGATTTCGACTTCTGAGCTTGATCCAATCAGCAGGCGAGGTGGGGGTGGTGAGCTGCGGTGACTGGCAGGGGGAAGGAGGGTACCTCTGCTGAACTTTGGCTTTTAGGGGCCAGATTATTCTTTTGTACCCCTGCCGTGCTCGCAGATTATTTCCGGCGCAGCTGAGGACCTATTTTGATAAAATTTAAAATTTTGAGTATTAAATCTTTAATATTAAATAGTTAAATGTTAGCTTTCGCCTTTACTGTACCTATTTTTTAATTTATTTTTTATTAATTATTTTGATTGCTCTCTTTTGTTCTCTCATCTTGGTTAAATGGCCCCTATTTTTTTTCTTTTCTTTTCCATTTTACTCCCTAAAATAAATGTTTTACAAGGTTGCTCCTTGAATTTAGAATTATTAATCAAAATGGATCTCCGTTAAATTTGTTCGGTCAAATTACACCAATGGTCACCGAACTTTGCGCTTGAATTCAATTTGGTCATGAGGCTTGCATTTATTAAAATTGGGATAATCAAAATTTCAAATTAAAACAGAGTAACAATATTAAAATAAGTTAATATTTAATTATTATAAAATATAATTTAATTAAAATTTAGTTGCTCCCGTGTCAATCAGAAGTTGAAAAATTTTGGTGAGAAAATTTTCTTGGACTAGTGAAATTGGTCATGGGGACCTGCATTATTAAGTTATCTACAGAGGAAAGGGGGTTTAAAACGGGTTGAGATTAGCTTTGTTTTCTCATTTAGATTACATTTTATTTCTTTTCTCATCATTTAATTATTTAACTAAAAAATATTTATTATCTAATTAAGAACAAGAAAATTAATCAATTAACACTAGTGTAAGTGTAAAAAAATTTTCACCAAATCTTACACTATTTATTTGATCAAAATTAACGGATAATATTATATAAATTTTGAAACGAAAAATAACTGTAAATTAGTTATCGGAAGATAGCTGTAATTAATTTTATCAGTTGATTTTGATTAAATTAATAGTATAAAATTTGGTATAAATTTTTTATATTTACACTGCTGTCAATTGATCCCTTCTTAAAAACAATGTTTGTTCCACTTTTATTATATCTCAACTGATGGTTAAGTAACCTAATTTTGTAAAAGAATGAAGTTTTATAGAGTAAATTGAAATCAAATGCAAAGTCCAATGACCATTAGTGCAATTTACCCAACAATAAACAGTGAAAATTGAGTGAAAGACTATTTTGGCCAAAAATTTTAATTTGAAGGACCAAATTGCTAAAAGATTGTTTAGGGATTAAAATGGGGAAAGTGCCAGACTTTAAGGACCAATTCGGTACTTCCCGCTTCAGTGAACATCGCTATCGGCTCTCCCTCTATCTTAAAGTGATTATATATAACACCATGTAAATTACTTAAAATTTCATTTAACCCCTTTGATTTTAAATATTATTATAACTCTGGTCCCCTTTTCTAAAATACTTTTTTTTAGCCCATTTTCTATAAATCCTAATGCGTTTATCAAGCTCAATGTGAAATAAGATTGACTCACACTGGGTGGAATAAGCTAAGCAACATGGTAAAATAAGAATCTGGTTTTTTCAACATGATCAATTACAAAAGTACCTTTTAGAACAATCCAGTAGACAAGGCTTTTAGTAAACATTATTCAAAATTTATGGTGTGTATTTCTGAAAATAATAAATTAGATAATTACCCCAATAGTCAAGGATTCGTTTGATAACATGTTTTTTTTTTTTAAAAAAAGGTGAATTTGTGAAAAGTGAGTTTTAAGAAAGTGAATTTGTGGAAAATAGAGTTAAAACAAAATGAGTTTTAAAAAAAATGAATTTAAATGAAATAAATTTATTTTAAAAAAGTTAAGGACTTGAAAAAGAAAAATGACTTCAAAATGGTGTCCTAATAATTTTATGCAAAGAGGCTATTTTACACCCTGGTTGAAAGAGGGTTGGAACAGAGATGCATAGTTTTAGTATTTTTTAGAAATACCTTTTTAAAAGTGAATTTTTCAAAAATTGTAACATATTGTTTATTGAAAATAATTAAAAATCTATTTTTCAAAAAGTACTTTTAAAAAATTTTATCCAAACACTTATAAATATTTTTAAAGTTTTTATTAATAAAAAATTACTTTTTATTAAAAAAATTAAACAAACACACTCTTAACCTGGAATTTCTTATACGATAACTTATAAAATTGTCATTTGTCAACTTAATTTTTACTAATACAGAATACAAAATACAACTTTATTTAATATCCCGTAAAGATCTAACTAAACTGTATGACCTAAAAATAGTAATTTTTAATATCCCATAAAGATCTAAATTGCATGACCCAAAAATAATAATTTTAAACACAATAATGGATACATGTGCTCTCTCTCCCTCTGAGGCAGAGAGATCTGCAAACTGGGTATTGCACTTCTGGAGGTCATCCAAGCACTGGTATTAGGGTTTGGGAATTTCTTTTATCAGCCAATGGTTCAGAAAATTTTGAAAATCTTTCCCAATTTTCTCAGAGATCTGTGAAGCAAATCATTCCCAAAGTTGGTAGAGACAAATTGTATTTTCATAAAATTTAGTGGGGGAAAAACTATTTGTATAACAATATTAATGGGCACAAAACTTACATTTAAACAACATAATTTTAAATAAAACTTCACTAATCTTTTACCACAATAGTAGGGCCAACAGGAGTTATGCAAGATTGCTTCCCTACTCCCAGTTTGAGAAGGCATTTCAGTATTGAAATAATCGCTTCTTAATTTTAAGTTTTAACCAGATTAAACCCTTCGTAAATAAATAATTGAAACGCATTAATATTTAATTCAAAATTTTTTAAACTTAATTTATTTTAATTTAGTTTTTATAAATTTACTTTTACTGTACCTATTTAAACTTATAATTGAACAACCAAACCCATTTTCTCAAACTTTATCTTATTTAATCCTAATTTTCCTAAATTTACTTTCTTTAAACTCACCTAAAAGAATTATTAAAAAAACGTTTAAGATTAAATATCTTCAACAGTTTATAAATTAAAATTTTAGAATATCCCCACACATATACTTAGAAATTTAAATAAACATCTCCTAAATTCTATATTTACATCATGATGTAAAAGGGTTCTAGTTGCAATTCACACTTTAAATATTTAAAATCCAATAAAAGTTATAAAAAGAAGTCGTTGTTTGGAAAAGTTTTCTAGGAAAGGCAATAAAAAAGCAGTATAACAGTGAAAGAAGTACTTTTGGACAAACACGGGATAGGGATGTCCGTTGAAAGTTTCCTGCCAAAAAGCAAGAGCAAGTTCGCAGAGTTTTAACCAGTCAAGAATGCTGCAAAAGAGAATTGACAGAGACCCACTTCAGATTTCTAACTCTCTAACAAAACAGAAATGATTAAATCATCGGAATAAGACCCTGTTTGGTTCCATTTTATTGTTGTTCTTTAAGGACCACTCATGAAGA